TGTTGTTTCTTGTACTAAGTCATTTCTTACATACCTTACCTTCCAATGCCAGCTAATGTTCCACTATTCTGGGACCCTCACGCACTTTCATGTCTCTATGCCTTTGATCATGCTATTTCCCACCACCCTGGAATATGCCCATTAAGCCACATTCATGCTTTAGCATTCGGTTAGTCAGTATTAATTGCTAACTCTTCTTTTTCTAAAATACAAGTGTTTTTTTTTTTAAAAATGTAAGATGATACACTGTGTGCAATACATTTTCTTCTGTTGTATATGAGAGTTAATAATATACATAATGCACTTTTCTTGATTGTTTTTTTAAGATTTATTTTTGCATACAAGTGCTGGGGTACAGGCCAGAGTTGCAGGGGGTGAGAGGATTCACCAGAGACAGAGTGAGGAGAGGAACAGGCAGATCTGAGGGGAGCAGCAGGCTAGCGAAAGGAGGTCTGCTGCATCATGTGGGTTAGCTCCCTGGCTGGGGATTGAACTCCTGCTACAGTGGCTACCAATAGTTTCATAGTGCTGAGACTTAACCCCTGTGTGACCAGGGAGTCCCTCTTCTGGATTCCTATAATTGGTCAAGTGAACCTTCACATCACTTAATTTCTTTAGACACCTGCAAAATTATGGTGAAAGTATTATAAAAATAGACAGTGTTATAAACTATTTGTAATTGTGGTCACTTTCTTCCCCCTGAAGTTCTGATGATAGGGAACAGTTTTATTTTTGTTTCTTTTATGGTACCTATTTAATTCCTTCCTTGCACACAGTGTATCAGCTTAAACTTATTTGGATGTTTAGATTAAAACTTCCCTGAAATATAAAATAATGCCCTAAATTTATATATATTGTAGGTACTTGGGAACTACATTAAACTTGAATATGTGAGAAATGGGATTTCCCTTAAGAGTGAGAAAAGCACAAAATGAATCAGAATGATTTTAGGAGAACAAACCAAGCCCATAAGGTGACTGGCTAAATTAAGTCTCACATAAATTCTTGTAGTAATAATTGCAAGTATTAGGGATATTTGAGTCAATGAAAAGGGACACTGGTGAGGGGAAGAACAAAAGATAATTCTGCTTAACAGTATAAAATATAAAGAAATATGGAAGAAATTTGGGCAAGACGTACTAGAAAGTGACTTGAGCTACTAAATTTCGAACGTATTAGATCACCTCTTTTGAGGGAGTGATGCAATAATTATCTGGTTTGGTTTGATATAAAACAAAGTCTTTGATTCTGGTAATGTCTTGCTCCGATTCTATAATTATTAATCGACTTTCTGAAATATGGCAAAGAGAGAGAATGTATTGATCATATTCTGTAAGTTATCACTATAACTTTTTTTGTTGTTGTTCTAGATTTAAAAATCAGTGCTATTAAAAACACATTTGCTTGAAATACGTTGACAAAACCAGATTTCTGAGGCAGAGAACCAGACCAGAAGCCAATGCAAATTTATCCCCACAATAAAGACTCCTGTGGGGAAACTATTCCAATGCATTGGGTTTCACCTAACCCAGTAAAGCTTGGGCTCATTTGGGTTTTTCATTTCTCTGGTTATTATTGACAATTGCCATATCTCTCTTGGCTGGCTTTTGGCAAATATTATACATTATTTTCTTTGCCCCAAAGTGAAGGGAATGAGAGGGAGAAATACATATATGAATATGCGTGTGTGTGTGTATATATATATATATATATATGTGTGTGTGTGTGTGTGTGCAATAAAATGAAAAATCTCCAAAGTGAAATAAAATCAGTAACTGTAAAATCCTTCATAAACACAGTTGCCTGTATTACATTTTGCAGTTTAGTTTTAGAGGAAAAAAAATGTGTAATTCTGCACCAAAATTTCAGGAATAATAAAATTCACACACCATGAAAACAGTGTCTACAATTTCTGAGTATTTAATACATACAAATAAACCAGTTGATGGTCTCAGGATTGAAATGACACTGGTGTTGGAAGCTACTCACTGGATGACTGCTTGCTGGTTCTCTCAGTAAGAGCAACAGCTTTGACCCCACTTCTCTGGGCTCTTCTGTCTTTGCCTGGGAGCACAGGTGAGTCACAGGAAGCAAGAAGTCCAGTCTTAAACATGGCCACTCTCCTCAAGGAGCGTCTGTTCACACAGCTCTGGAATTGCTTGGCATGAGACAACTCTACTGTTTTCGTTGTTTTGATGAAAATTGTTAAAATTCTACACTTATTCCTCAGAGGTCAATAATAATCTTAAGATCTTCTCTGTGCTTTTATTAAAAGCAGATCTTTTTGTTCGTGCTCTTTTGGGCTGATTTTAAAATAAGAGGATACGTGTTGGTATTGCTTTCTTACATGGTCAAGCAAACACCAAAGCCAAATTGCAGAGACCACCTACTAATTTGGTTTAATCACATCTGACGATTTTTAAGTTGAAATTCACGAGAAAGTAGTAATGTGTATTAATTCAGGTGACACATAACCTAGTAGTTTCATCTGAAAAGTTGATTGTAAAAGTAGATCAAGCTAATAGTTAACTTTTCTCCAAAGGGGAAAACAATTTACCTAACACCTCCTCCCCCCCTCCCGCGGCCCCCCCCTCCCCAACACACACCTGATTCTTTAAAACAAACAAAAAGAAAGTAACCTGAGATTCTGGAATTCTTGTCTGCTTTCATTTTTAAAATAAATGAGAAACAAAGGATCATGATAAAAACAAAATAAATTCCGGATGGACACTAGTAATGTTTTTGCCTTCAAAGCTTCCTTCAGAAAATGTCAACAACTGAAATACGTAAAAAGTGACGAACCACTAGCAGACTGAACACAACATCTCAGAAATAGCGGTTCCCAAAACATACACATTTCTGATCCTGAGTTTCAAACTGTCGGGAACCAAGAGACGATGCCAGTGATGTATCCCTGCCACTCCACTCCCAGTTAACATACTCCCTGGGGAGGGGTCTGGGCGACAGAGTGGCGACCGGCTTCCCAGGTTGTCGCGCTGACAAACTGCAGCGGTGGTGAAGTCAAGGAGCCTGACAAAATCTCATTAATCATTTTAAATTAAATCCAACCTTGCCTGTCCAAGTTGGCTAAGAAGAAAGTCTTCCCCCGCTACCCCCACAACAAATGAAAATTTCCTCAGTAAAGATTTGGTATCTTTCTCTTGTTAGCTTTTAATTCAATGAGACAAAAATAAAATAAAACCACCATCTTTTCTAAGCTTGAAAACAAAACATTTGGCAATATGATTTAACGGGTTAAGTGTTTTTTAAAAATAAAACAACTTTGGAATAAAAATATTTGGAAATATTCTTAGTGGAATTAAGTGTGTCCTAGCTAAAACACCTGATTTTTAATCACTTAGAAAGACAAAATAAGGAAAAAAATGCAGTTTCTATATTTTTTTGCTCTATTTTATTCCAGTCTCCTTTCCATTCATAGGTTTTTACTTTGTCTTACATAGTTATGTGTGTACACATATATGCATATTTTGTTTCCTTTTATTTATTATGTTTTCCATGTTACTTATAAACATCATTTAATAGTAATATATCATGAAGATGTGTTTTAGCCTATTTAACTAGCACTTAGTACAGTGTCTGGTATATAGTATGTAGTTGAATTAGTTGACTACTTATTGGCTATGGGTTACAACAGCCTCAAGTTTGGGATATTCCAGTGGTTTTCAGCTTTTTTCAATTAAAAACAATGACATAATTAAGGGTGTCCCTACTGAATTGCCCTACTTTGTGTGGTTCCAGAGTGTATATATTCACCTATGAATGCTTGAAAAGAAACTGAAGATGGTGTTATTTCTATGATATTTGAGAAAAACTTCACTTTAAGCACAGGAAAACAGACCCCAACTAGAATAAACAGTTTATTGTTTTAAATACTAAACCTTCTGAATAAGCTTACTCTCGTTAAGCACCATATTAATAGCAATGTCAAGAATGTAGAGAAAGAATAAGATCAATAATTTAAATCCATGAAGTTAAAAAAGATAAAACAATCCTAAGGCAGTAGTGGTCCAAATATTCAAAACAAGAAGTTCCAGGGAGGTGAATTTATACCTAGAATAATATATAGGTTGGGGCTGCATTAATAATTTTTACGAGTTAATTTTAAAATATTTAAAAAATTTAGTTTGATGCGCGCGCGCGCGCGCGCGCGCGCGCGCGTGTGTGTGTGTGTGTGTGTGTGTGTGTGTGTGTGTAGGAACAGTTAAGGCCATCTTTTTTTATTCTTATGTAAAAACTCAATCATCAGAGTTCAAAGAATTCAATTGTATTTACTGAGAAACTGCTCTGAGCTAACACCTGTGTTAGCATAAAAGAACAACATTTACATCTGAAAAAAAAAACTGAGAAAGCTGGTCTAGAGAGAATAGAGTCTGAATGGGATAATCACTCCAATATTGTCACAAAGTTTGTATTTTATGTGGAATACAATCTTAGCTGTTGATAGAATGCATCAAGTTGCAAATTTAGATAAGGGTTTGGTTTCCACAGGGCTATGCATTTGTGAAGATCACTGCTGAGGACACTTAAGATTTGCACATTCCATTCCATTTTATTTGAAAAGAAAAAAGCTAAAAAATTATCTTTAGCTAATGATGTGCACGTTGAAGTCTTTAGGAATGAAGTCTACTGATGCATGGCTTATTCTGGCCTATATAAAAACAGCAGGATGGGTTGACTGATAGCGGATGAATGAATGCAGTAAAAGTGTACACAGCAAAATTTATGATAGAATCTAGGTGATGGGTGTGCAGTATTACAATGAAAATAATCTTTTTTTACATACCCAGGAATTTTCATAAGAAAACACTGATAAAAAAAATAGTGACAATCTACACTTATAATCTGGTCTGGGTGGAAAAATAGAACAGAAAAAAAAAGGAAGGGAAAATAAAGGAAATTAGTAAATAGAATTAGATACTAACAAAAGAAGAAAAGTGATAGTTAAAAAGATAAAATATAGAAGCAGAGAGAGAACCAAATGGTAGAGAGATGGAGAGAAAGAAAACCAAGACAACAAAGAGAGGAGACATATGACAAGGAAAGTTCAACATATTAATATCACTACGCTGTATTTTGAAACACACAGTAAATTAGTTTTGAAGATCATTTGAATTACTGTCATAGAATTCAAAATTATGAACATGTAAAAAATAGATATTTCACAAACTTAGAAATTACTACCAAGCTAAAGGCCCTTTGACTTTAAAAGTTGTTTGATTGCCTTGTTTTATCTCTGCAATGTCTGGAGCACGTCACTCCCGTTGTAGTAGCCACTAGACTGACTGAAAGCCAAGTCTGGAGGGGACTAGTGGAACTGGGACTCCTCAAAGCCTCCGAGCCAGCTGCGCGGCCTATCGCCTGGCTTATCATCCCAATGCTGATGCTGTTCACCTGGAAGTATGTCCAGGGAACTTTGGAATGACATAATTGTTCGTGAAGACATACTGCATAGGTTTGCTGTCCATGAAGCAGCGTTTCTGTTCATGGCCTGGTGATCTGTGAAGGCAAGAGTCCATTTTGTATACCCTTGAGAAATACTGAATGACTAAATGAATGCATACTATCATTCTCAATATTTTCTTCTCAGCAGACTCAGAAATTATCAAGATTAGGAGGATAATGAAGTTTGACTATTTCAGATATAGCCAAAGGTTTATTACTAGCATTCTAATAACATTTTTATTATTATATTTGTACATCTCAGATTTAACAGTTTGCTATTGTAAGTGGTTTAAATAACTTATGGAGATTTGGCTACAGTTTTAAAAATGAAAAGGTCAAGTGATTAATTTATAAAAGTAAATGCAAGATTTGCATAGTCAGTAGTAACAAATTAATACTCCTTTCGCAGTTCAAAGGAAAGAGAGGCTGATATTGGTTTCCATGTAAAGTCATGTCCAACTTTTCCAGAGACGACAACCACAGATCAGATTCAAATAAATTTCAGAACTCAGTTTGAGAGAAAAAGGAAAGACTTTAGTCAAAATATTTACAATAAAATAATTATGATTATAAATCTCTTTAGTTAAGTATGTACACATTACATGGTATTTTAAAAAAGAATGGAAACGAATAAAGTTTTTCAGGCAAATCTAACACACATACCGTCTTTTAGAGCACAATGTCAGTTTAACATTCCTAAATAGCTGTATCAGACAGTAGCTCTGCTTTGTGCAAAACATGATGAGAAAAATGGAGAAAAATTCAGCAAAATTCTTTAGTTCCCCAAGGAAATTAATTACTAGAAAAGAAAGCAGGGAAAGAGGAAAAGGCTGTACACTCAAGCTTGATTGTGTACAGAGGCTAGACTGAGCAGCACTGACGTGACCCCCCATATCTCCAAGTCAGTCTTCGGGTAGTGTGAGTTTGAAGTTAAAGTTGAAGTCCCAGCAATGATGCTCACGCAGCAACGTGGCCAATAAGGTAGATGTTGTCATAAAGGTGCCCCACAAAATCTTCACTGATGTTCTGAGCAGCACGTCGGGTATTTCGAATAAATTCTCTTTTTGACATTTTATTCTTCACATGAGGGCTACTGAGGTCAATGGAAAGTAGAATTAAAGAGTAGCACAGCACATAGACAGCATCTGGGAGGAAAAAGAAACATTTCAAGTTACTGGTGAGTTCTGTGGTTCAATAGGCATGATATACTACAACATGCTCAGAATTTTGAGATCCCCAGATTATAAGGAGAGATGAGAAGACCAGCTCATCAAGTTTGCCGGGGCCTCTTCCAATTTTAGCATTGAAAGCTCTGGGTCCTGTGCAACTCCTCAGTCTGGAAAATAAGGATGGTCAGTAATCCTGACTAAACACCAGTTCAGTATGTATTTTCTCCAAATCAGAAGAACTTGAGAACAATTTAGTAGCTTACAGTGAAAACTCTAAATTTTAAAATTCCAGATTTGGCTTTATTTTCACCCTTGCTTTCAAATATGATATTGCCAATTACCCTCCCATAAAGTGCATCTGTACTGTTAATGTATTTATTTTCCCACTCACTCTAAAGAAAAGTCATATTTATTTACATATCCTTTTGAAAAACATTAATTTGAAAGTATCTTTAATGATAAGAAAATGTACTAACTTGATAAAGAAAATAAAATAAATGTAAATAACTTATGAAACTATAAAATTAATATTATCATTTGAGATGCATATTTTAAAGGTCTAGAATTTACATATCAACCCTCAAAAGCTTATCTTTAGAGGAAAAGATAGGTAAAGCTGAGGGTATGGCAATAAAACATTTTCTTCTTCATATATACTAGGGCAATAGTTGATGTTTCCTATTAAAAGAATCACACACTCAGCCCTCCCTGGTGGCACAGTGGGCTAAAGTACAGCACTCAGAAGCTAAAGCCACTTCCGCATGAGTTTGATTCCCGCCTGCCCCGGAGGTGACCCACATGGTGCGGCAAACCTCTCCTGACCTGCCCGCTGCTCCCCTCAGCAGTGTACTTCGTAGATCTGCCTGTTCTGTTCCCTACTCTGTCTCTGGTGAATCCTCTCACCATGCCTAAGCCTCTGGCCTGTACCCCAGTTCTGTATGTACAAATAAATAAATCTTTAAAAAAAAAAAAAAGAATCACATACTGCATGATCCACCTGCTACTTGATAAGGCTACTTGATACTTGATACTATGTGCTTTATTTTTCATTACGTTTTTATACTTCAAATTCTACAGTCTGAATAAAGCTAAACGCAACACTGTCTTACAAAAGCATATTCAAAAATTTCATATAAGTGAATGTTTTGCATTCTCTTCTTACTTTTTAACACAACTCACAAGATGAGCACAACAAAACTTTTGATTTGGAGAGAAAATAAAACTATCACATGAAAGCAATACATAGGTCATTTAGGCTACATCAAGAATATACACATAGCGAAACCTAATAGTCTTAAAAATGTACTGTAGTAGAAAAACTCAGTATGTTACCTAGGCAATATGTGGATTTTTCAAACCTTTCAAAATTAAGCTAGTAAAACAGGTCAGTGCTCAAACAAGAATAATTTTAAAGAATTAATATAGTTGCCCCTTCCAATTACTATATAAAACTGGTAGCTGTGACAAACTGAAGTAGCCATTGCTACGAGCAGAGAAACAAGTATTTGTAATTACTAGAAGCATTTCTCCCTGTAGTAAGGACAATTTCTCTTATAATATTTTTACCTGGAAATGAGGGGATGAAGGGAGTGAGGAAAAAAAGAATTCACTATTATCTTACCAGGACTAAGGCCCAGTTCTCTCATTAAATCAGGGTTACAAACACAGAATCTATGTGAGAACTTTGTTATTAGAGTTTCAAGATACTCCCCACGCTCTTCAGGGGCATGGATGTGACGAAAAAATTCTCTCAGTGCATTGGGCAAGAATTGATTTCTAAAATTATGCAAGGTTACAAGGTCATCCAAGACATCTCTCCTAGTAGAAAAAGAAAAAACAAGTACAAATCTGGTTAATTTTCTCTCTCTCAAGAAACAATAAGAAAAATACATTGTTTTGATAAAAAACAATTAAAAGCATTACTTAATTTATTTCTGATGAAAACTTATTATTTTTTTTTTTACCTTTCATCAAGATAGATCCTCAGTTTTTTCCAATTTAGTGTTCTTGTACAGAAGATAAACTTTGCTATTTCCTTTGGTGAATCTTCTAGGATACCCCTGGCCATAAAGTAGTTCACTCCCTAAGAGAGAAAGACAAATCTATATAAATAAAACTGGTCTTTGCTTATAACTTCCACAATTAGGCAACATTGGAACAACAGCTATAAATTCTTTTCGGCATGAATAGGCTTTTAATAGCTTTAAACATGCAAAATACAAGCTAGAACTTACACTGAAAATTATTTGTGACTGATAGTTTCCATGCAATGAAAAGTAGGAAATTCAAAGTTAAGACTCCTATGTACATCTTAATTCAATTTTCTGGCTCCTTTCAGTTAAAACTAACTATATAAGAATATGGTCTAAATGGGGTGAAGAAGAGGAGAAGCTATTACATCTATTTTTAAATAAGCCCTGAAACGAATACTTCCACTGCTGATAACTTCTTAAAGCTTAGCTATATAGTCTAATACACTTTTCAAGAAAATAGTTTCTTGGAAAAAAATAAAGTGATTCTCCAAATGATAGCTTAATACTTTCATTCTGAAAAGAAAAAGAACTGAATTACTAATTTAAAATAAAGTAGGCACAGTTCCAAGCTGGTTTATGGGCCTTACACACTTTGGCTTTAAGCATTGCTACGTGCTACAAGAATTTAGCTCCAATGTACACAGAGGCAAAGCATCATAAGGCAAAGCAATTTCAATGTTTTTCACAGGCTTTATCTTTGAATTTCCTTTTCTCTGCATGCACAGTTTTCCAGAGAGCATTACCATAAGTTTGTACCTACTTTAGATTTAAATCAAAAACAACAAAACATCAACAACAACAACAAAACAACCCAAACATTGAAACCAATGTTCCCTCATGGATATGGAGGCCACATTCAAATAAATGCCTTATGTGTATTTGAATGCGCGGTTATTGAAATAAAAGGCAGGTGTATTTATTTCAACTCACTGTTATCCAGATACATGCATTCCCATGAATGCTCATGTCTGGATAATAGCACATTGTGTGCTTCTAATTGGTAGAGAAAATGATGTATTATATACACGCAACATACTGTTTTCACACATAAAATTCCTTTAGCATTTTTTCCCTCGACACTTACATAGTACTGAGAAACAATACATATCAGGAATTCAAAAAGTTGGAAGAATTTTATAAAACTCTTCAAGATAAAACTCATAAAATTTTTATATCAGAAAAATTTAAAGCAATTTGGTGCCATGCAGTAATGCTTTTGAAAAGTTGTAATCATTTGTAAATTATAACTCAAAGATAAGTTTTTTATATAAAACTAATCTTATGAGCCACCAGCACAATAGCCTAATAGCAATGCTATCAAATTCTTGTGTGAATTTTAATAGTGCCAGAGCAATGCTAAAGCACTGACTTTAAAAATGTATATAAAGAACAAAATGTGAAAACATGAAACTTTCTTGTCCACTCAACTGTAAGCCATATTTCAGACTGCATCCTGGACATAACATAACATGATCAAGATGGGAAAGCCAAAAATCTGTTTGGAATGAAATCAGCAATTGTCTGAGGGGGCAGGAACGAGAAAAATGGGAATGCTTCTTCCATCCTTTCCTCCATTAGTGTGAATAATCGAGAGTTGACTGTATATTTAGTTGATCTATTTAGTAAAAAATTAAACAGGTTTACTTTTTTCCAAAAAGTCTTTCATTCAAAAAAATAACAATATTTTAGAAGTATTTCTGGTGCTTAATTTCAGTCCAAGTGACTCAAACACAAAGGAATGTCAATTAAGCATTATTTAATAGGTTCGTTATATTGATATATAAATCGATATTTAAGAGATGTCAAACTTACTGTAATCTACGTTTAAAAAGTATACTAAATAAAAAAAACCCCACTACCATGGTTCATTAAAGAGTATATAATTCTCTAATTACATGATATATGGCATTTTAATATCCTTTGATGATAAAAAATTAACATTGCTATGTATCTCATGTATGCATTGTAAAACATACTGTTGGCCATTTCCTTTTTTGTGAAATATGTGATTTGAGAATTTAAAATCTAGTTAAATTGAATTCCTAAAAATCAGTCAAATACAGACAGAGTAAGTACATACACAGTTTTAAACTCACTGCTAAACATGGCTTGAAATAAGTCAACTCTATTGGTTTTATGAGGAAAGGAGGCATTAGTTTCTAAGCTGGGATTCTTCTGGAAAGGAAGGTTAATTCAGAAAGCCTAGCAAAGTGAGGGGTAAAGGATACAAATAGAAAAAGGCACCAGGCCAGATTAAATTGTTCAGTAAGCAAGCTGACAACCCTCTGAATTCCTATCTTGTTATGTAAGCAACGAAATACAGAAGAAATCATAGCATGAGGCCTTTTGAATAACCATACATTTGTTTAATAAGTAGTATAAGTATTTCTGAGTTTTAATAAAGTTTTGGTGAATGGTACGATAGGCCTCTAGACCACTTAACACATTAACCACCAATCAGGATTAGAATGCCCAGCAGTGTTGTGTGTGTGTGTGTGTGGGGGGGTAGTCGGGCCAGGGGAGTCTCTCACACAAAGAAAATCATATAGATATTAACACAGTTTCCAGAAAAAGAAAGTAGCTCACTATTATCTACCAGATTCAGAATAATATAGTCCAGTTCTGGATGTTACCTTTTTTTATACGGCACGCTGACAAACTAGAACTATGTGAGTAAAGGAAATCAGAACCTATAAGACTGCTGAGAATCCAGAATCCCGGTTATGTTAGGGGAAGTTGAAGAATTTAGGGGTTTTAGGCCCACAGAAACAGATAATTAGAAAAGAGGAAAAGATGAAGCCTTTTAGGCATTTGAAGGGCTGTGTCACAAGGAAAATAAGACACTGTAGCTTTGGTAATGAGTTGAAGCTGACGACAGCTACAGAGCTTCTTCCCAGAAGAACACACACACTTCTTGACATACTTATTTTACAACAGAAGTCAAATGCGTGTGACCCACCCAGGACTGCAGGTCAGGAGTCCTTATTCTAGACGCACGTAGGAGCAGAGCTGGCCAAGCTGAGGTCAGAAAGTGGGCCGCGCACCGCAGGGAGGTGACAGAGGCCATCCCACTCCCCCTGCTCACTGCTGGCATTCACCTGCCTCGATTTTTATTTCTTTACAATTTCAAAGCAAGCTGACGCCTCAGATTTATTACTGCTTTGTTTAATTTATATATACTTTAACCCAGTGATACCAACTCCATTCAACTTTTAAAGTTATGGAATTGTAACCACCATAGTGTAGTTCGTTTTTTTTCCATCTGGGGATAACCCCGAGACATTTCTGTCATATAACCTTGAGATAAATCAGGATGATGTCAGACTTATAAGGAGTTGATTCCACAGCATGAAGGTAAGTACGTGGCAGCTGAAAGGGAGCGATGGGTAAAGATGGATTTGAAAAATATTTTTTGTTGTTGTTGCTCATTTTTCTTTTTTTTAAAGATTTATTTATTTATGCACATAAGAACTGGAGTATAGGCCAGAGGTGTGGTAGGTGAGAGGATTCACTAGAGACAGAGTAGGGAGCAGAATAGGCAGACTAACACAAATACACTCCTGAGGGGAGTAGTGGGCGGGTCAGGAGAGGTCTGCCGTGCCATGTGGGTACTTCCCTGGAGGGGGATGGATGCAGAGGGAGTTGCTAAAAACAGTCACACATACATCCTAAATTACTTGTAGCTGGAAGATGTCAACAGGAAAGTTAACATAAAGGAGGAAGATTTAAAAAAATGGACAGTTTCCTCTAGTGGAAAATGGACAGTTTCCTCTAGTGGAGTTCCGGGAGGTGGAAAAATAATGACGTCAGATAAAAATACATTAATTTCATGTTTAGGGTTTTAATAATAATTTAGTTCCTGTCAGTCAGTTCTAAGACTCAAACAGAAAAAGTCATACTGTGAGTTCTCAAGTCCCCTTCCCCAAACACAGTGACACAGAGCAATAAAATGAATATGCAGATACTTCATAAATGATAAACTACTACTAGTAATTAAACATAACAATCATTACTGCAATTACTAATGACAAAAGTTGCTGCTATATGAGGTATAATAAGCTTTTTTGGAAAAGGCTTTTTATCTTAATCTATGAATTAGAAAGTATTTTAATCAAAAGATGATAAATTATTAGGTTAAGGTATGATTAATAATTAAGCTAATGAGAAAACAACACATCTGAATGTCAGTGTTAGTTAATTTAGAATCCTGCTTTATAAGAAAATCACACGCAAATAATGTGTTTTCCATGTGTATATATATTTACTGTATATTTAAATAACTAACTTTACTTTGACAAATACAAATGATACTTTTATTGTATGATTCTAGGTAGACTTATAATGTTACCTAATATTTTATTAGCTGTGACAATTTAAAAATAAACATTGAAATACCCCTAAAATCTTCATGGTAGACAGAGAAGCAAGCTGGGATTTAAATGGTACTTTCGTGACCAGCATGTGTATGTACTTACTCATGTAGTACAGTACTGGCTTAGCATACTAGCATTTCACCCCAGATACATGTGATTATTACTTAAAATGTCCTCATAAAAGGTTAAGCTAAATAGGACCATTGAAGCAAAATGCTATTGCATATGGAAGAGAATGCTCACCAGATACAAGGAAATAAAATTAAAGGCGAAGCCACGAAGAGCAAGTATGTACCTACCAGACTCCAACAATCCTAGGAGAGGAAGGACCCCAAAACCTGGCTCTTAGGCTGTTGGAGGTTGAACTGGAGTTCCATGCTGGTGATCACTTAGCGGTACCGTGCATTTAACATTTTATTTTACTTAATCTTTACACCACCACCACTGAACACCCACATTGTCCCCACTTTTAAGATGGAGAAAGTGGAGCATAAAGAGGTTAAGTAATTTCCCAAGATCAAAGCCATACAGTAAGAGATATTTAATATTATTGAATACATGTTTGAATCTATCTTTACAAAGCCTCCAGGTGACTTAAAGAAGAGCTATAAACTTTTTAGGTTTATATAATTTAGCTGAGGAGAAAAGGGAAAATAACAATACATCAACAAAACCTT